TTTAAACGCACGATTAGCTTCGTATGGAATGGAGCGGCGCAACAATGGAAATACGAGGTTTAAATTCGACGTAGGAAAATTTCTACAGTTGACCCCAAAAGTATTTCTGTACACTTTCGTGGTTAGCTGTGGTTTTCTTATTTATTGCTTTTATTAGAATGAATTTTTCTGTTTTACGTTGAACTTGATTTATTCGAGGCTCGTGCTGGTTAGTATTGTTTAGAAAATGTATACTTTATCTAAAAATGCGTGGCAACGAAATCTCGAATATGCGCCAATGAAGGTACAATCTGATTTGAAATTATTCTGTCGATCGAAGTACACACGGAGGCAACTGTGATTTCTAATTGTTTATCCTTTCGAACATTATTTTACTAAGAAAAATATTTAAGTAAATAAACTAATATCCGTTATAAAAATGTATTACAAATGGGAAAATTATTTGCGTTATTTTCCTTTTGTAATTTTTATATTTTCGTTTTATCTTTTTGGTACAAACACGATGATCCGTTTTATAGGATCATGTTAACAATTTTTATCGGAGATAATAGTGAAATGCCATTAAAATTTCTATATCAAGTATATATGAAACGACTCTCAGATGGACATTAATATTTTATTTTCATTGATCTAAGTTCTTCGGCCAGGCTGTTCCGTCTTTGATTTTTTTCCGATGGAACGAAGTACAGAGTACAATGTAAATAAAGATGGGCACAATATTATTACTTATTATTTATGCTCGTATTTATCTGATTGAATTATTATTTACAATCATAATTCTCGAGTACGGCTCGCGAGTGACGAGCAACGAGCTGCACGAAAATGTTGATTTGCATGATCCACTTTTACACATGTTGCAGAAACAATTCATCCGTAGAAAATGTTTCACGTTCGTGCACGGATTCGCATCGCGTGTAAAGCTGCGTGCAAAATTCTCAAACATACCATTCGCTTGTTTCCGGCTGATTGACCGGAAACAGCCGTACCGCCATTCCTTCGCCGACCAATCAATGCTGTTCAGCGGTTCTCAACTGAAACCAGAGGAACACTTGGAATGCTAATTCCTTATGTTTTTTTCCAGTTTCTTTCGTGAATGTACGAACCCGCGTGAAGATAAAGGTCAACGGTTAGAAGAACATAGGATGCTGTTGTCCGATTTTGAAATTGTGTGCGGGTGCGTGTGTACGTGTGCATGTATCACCATATTTTAGATCCGACCTGCTTTTATTAACAATAAGCGAGTGCATAATTACAAAAATGTTCGTATATTTTCTTAACTATACAAATACATTTTCTTTGAATTGTTACTTTAATGTAACAGTTGTAAATTAATTTAATAACTACTTGTATAATGCTAGTACTAATAATAGTGTGTTATAACGTTTAATTATATCGATAAATTTGATCCCTCATAGCATTTTTTAACATAACGTAAATCACGATATTAAGTGAACTCTATGGGGTCATCTGGTGTGTTTACTGTTTCATTCCTGATTAAAAAAATGTATAGTATTAATCGTGCACTCTATTGACCAAGATAAAAGTAGTTGTGCATCTGCGCGTTAAAGGGTGGTTTATTAATGCATTTTTTACTGAAAACCGCGAAGTTCTGTTTTCTTTGCGATCATTATCGCATCATGATATAATCACAACTATTCGTATCTGAGTATCTAACATTTAACCATAATTTTTCCATTTCAGTTCTTTCATATACTCAGGTACCTTTTTATTCCGAAAAGATCAAGGAACAATAGGAAGAAAAACCCCATAGACAGATCACGTGATCCGTTGTCATCGATTTGCGATCCATTTTGGTTGCAGTTTCTGCATTTTCTTAATAGATCAGTATTAAATTTAAACTATCATTACTTAAATAATTGTTTACACCTGTAAAGGCATTTCAGTATGAGAATTGTGTCATTAAAGATACATTCGAAGTTTCGTAGAAAATCCAATATTTTCCTTAGACAATTTTACACGGATTGGTTTAAAAATAATTATCTTATATATTGTAATTTATGTAACTTGAAATGCACATATAAAGCTATGTGTAAATTATGATTTTATCGTTCCGTGGTGCTACAAATTAATATTCAAGTTTTTTGCGTCGCCAAATGTGTTCGCAGTGACATCTACGGCAGAATGGCCAACTTATTGGCACTGATTACAGACATAAAATGGTAAGTTCATTCCTATAATATCAACAGGATATAAAGCTAATGAAGCTACGTGAAAATTTAACTTTTTCAAACCCCGTCGGTATTATAGGAATGAACTTACCATTTTATTTGTGGTCATCACGAGTGACTTGGACGTTTCACCGCGGATGGCGACACAAATCATTCAAGCCATTCTCTGTCACGTTAAAAAAGCAATTGCGTATTAATTGTTAAAATCACCGATAATAACCAATTATTAAATTATCAATTATCAGTTGATTAAAATCACCGATAATTAATCAAATTGATTAATCAGTTGTACTCAATTATTCAATACCATAGACAAGTCACCACATCCAGATCATTATTACTATAAAAGCTCGAACATTATAGTTACAGAAACAGATAATCAAATAAAATCGTCATTTGCATTTGCATTCTGTTAAAAATCAAAGATTCCATATCATTTGCTCAATTTCAGCATGTTTCTCCATCGGAACAATTACAATTAAACACGACTGTTTCCAATTGTTTTTCCACAGTTGCGTCCATACACGTAACACAAGTAACAACTATTCCCTCACCAATACAGCCAAGTGTAATTCAAAATCATGATCGCTATCGACACGTGAGTGTTCTACTTCCATTCGTAATCGAGCTAACGATACACTGCCGCGAAGACGGGCAGCTTTTAATTTGAACCGAAGCCAATGTTCAGTCCGCGTCAATGCTACAGCTTCGTCCTAAACATAAGCGACTTACAGCGCGAGCTACAAGCTTCTATAATTTCCTGTATCGATCCCCAAGATCGCCCGTCCCAATTATATATTCAAAACGTCTGCATTCGGGAGAGCAATCGCGCATTCAAAAGATCTGCGCGATCCAGGAGACCGCAATTATATATTTAAAAGATCCATGGCGTTCTGAGAACACCTCTCAACCTCCAATGGTCCTCGGGTCCGGTCGATCGACATTCTTATCGCTACGATCGAGGATCAATGCAACCGTCTAGGATGATTAGGATTGGCAAACTGGTTTTATTCAAATTCATGGCGAACGCTCGATAAACTTTATTCTTCCGTGTGTCGCGCTGCGCGTGTACATTCGCGTGAAGAGGACCGCTCGAGTGTATCCGCGTGCATACGTGGCCGGAGCATGGGAAACGATGGAAACAAGGAAACGAAGGGAAACAAAGGAAACGGCGGTGTCGATGGTCAGCGTTCGTTACGTGAAACTCTTGTGTAAAAGACAATCTCTTCTTCGTTCGACATAGTAGGTCTTCGCCGCAGCCTTGCGGGGCTGCACTATTAAGGCACTCTATGCCAGGAATACGTTCAGCGTGCACGAGCGGTACAAAGAGGATCCATCGAGTACATAATGCACAATAATCTCCCTCACTTTCTCCCTCACACGCACACACTCACACTTTCTGTCTCTCTGTATACATATACATATATATATATATTGCTTTGAAAAGAACAAGTCGTGTCCGTTGCACTTAAACCGCAAAATAAACGCGCGCGTACGTGTACGCAGGCTTGGAGGGAAATGAAAACGAGGCGTTATCCTAAAATTAATTGGACGGTCTAATGCTTACTCCCGCCGACCCGTTCGACACCTTCCAATCTTGACAATGGGGAATGTATCCAAGGAGAATATTATACTGTTTGCTTTTTGTGAATTGGAAACGGTGAGAGACGCGTTGGTCAAGAATTAGAAAATGAGAAAGTAAGACACTCTCGAAAAGAAACTAGAAAATCTATTGAATAGTGTTCAACTCGAGTTAACTGTGATATTCAATATGGGAAATCTCTCGTGTAACATCAAGCAATGACGAGTATAAACGTTGAACACAGGACGAATGCATCTAACATATGTCACAACGAAGGATTAAGTGAATGATCACTGAGAAGGTTGGTATCGTTTCAAGAAAATACTAACGATTGAAATCGGAAGCCGCCTGGCAGCGGGTGGAACGGGTCGCTTCGTAAACCTAAAACAAAGTAACGCAGCGTAACGTAACGTAAATGCTATGATTGTACTTGCTAGAAACGGCAATGAACGGGATTTGCCTCCTGGACGATCGCGAACCGTCGTGACCGGTACTTCTCGGCGTCTCCTCCGTCTCGGTCCGGTGTACCATTAAATTAAAAGTGTCCGTACAATCGAGACAATGTACACACAACACTCTAGACTCTCTATACACATAGTACGACAATGATAATAATTGAAAAAGAAGAAAAAGAAGAGGGACCGCTGCGATTCGCGGCTCGGTTTGAACACGATCGCGACAACGATACGCTCGATCGTTGGCTCGAGGCTCGAGAGGCAGCTCCCGAAGCGTCAGAACGGAGCTGACAGCTCGAGGAAAGCTCGATAGACTGTAAAAGGTCACTTTCCCGTGTTCCACAGGCATCGATGGGTTTCGAACGCTCGTAAAGGTCATCCTTTGGGACACTATGTCTTCGTCCGCGATGGTTCTCGCGGATCTAGTAGATCCAGTTCACGGGTACCCATTGGTGTTCAGTGGCCAGAGAGTCCAACGCGGCGATCACTTGTCTGAACGTGTTATCGAAGTCCTCGTTCACGATCACTAGGTCGATGTACTTCTCGTAGGCGCGTTGCAAGGCGGCGGATTCCTCCAGCGTGGATTTCAGATCGTCTTCCTGTTGATCAGAGACGGTTTTAGTTTAGTCTTCGAAGACTCTCGGACCGGTTTTTCTCGGTGCACTTTAGCTTCTAGTGATTAATTGCCCTTTAGGAGCCCTGAATGAACTGTGCGTTTCATGTTTTGGATGCGAGTGTATGAATTGTGTGGGATGGGAAATGGTGTTTGAATTGTGGAGTAGATAACTTGATCTGCTGGTGTTTAATTTTGTGCGTGTAGTGTAGGCAGACGAAGGTTGTTTGGTGAAATTTGGTAGATAATATCGAACCAGGTGTGAGGCTTTTATTTGAACTTCATATACCGACAATTATATTTATAGTTTGTTCGTAAAGCAACGAAAAGTAAAGGCTTAATTGTAATACATAATTCACTACTAAATGAACTGCTACTAAATACTAATCGCTAACAGGGCTAATGCAACGCTAAATGAAAATAAAGGTACATGCAATACAAACCTCGTATAACGATGCGAGAGACTCCAGAGTCCTGGCTCTCCTCGAGCTGAACCTGATGGAACTCGCGCGGTCAAACTAGCAAAGCGAACATCAAATACATACAGATGATTAAATAAAGAACGCTACGGAAACTAAGTTTACACGGGGCAGGGGGGTGAGGGACGAATCTCTGTAAAGAGCGGATTCAAATACGGAAGATACTCGAGTAACGCAGACGAAAAATAGTTTAAGTCAGCATCGATGCAACATACGAGTACTATCATCAGAAGAGAAAAGATTGTTCAATGATAATTAACACTTTCACAGTACCTCTAGGAGTCCATACTTAAATCAATCAACTTATATGATCTTCGAATAAATTGACCAACTCTGTACAAACGAAATTACCTTTTTATATTTTCGGTTCGATTGCATAAAAATGACATCCATGATTCTCAAGGATCAATATCCATGGCACGGCGAACGTGTTAATCAACGGGGAGTGCATGCGAATTGCAGTAGTAGCTAAATCACATTTACACAACGACGGCAAACAGACTGGCAGGCAGGGGGTTCGAGAGCGGTTGCATCGTAAAATCGTTTGATGGCCGTGTTTGTTTTCAACGCGGCCAATATGTTTCCCGTTCACGAAAATTCCGTACGCGGATCGGCTCGTTTCTGCCTCCCCCTCTATCCCCATCGTCCCTTTCTTCCCGTCACGCACGCCGCGGAACGCGAGAACGTCCAAAACGTCATCGCCCGGAATTTATTTGCGAATCCCGACCGTTCCGCACCGATATAACCTTCGCGGAAACCGATTTATATCGCGTGCAGGAATACTATTACGGCTGATAAAATAATATTTAGCGTTCGCGCGTGCCCCTATAAGTTTCCGAGCGACGCTTTGATGCCGTCTGTTTCGGTAACTTTTCAACGGACGCTTAGCCTTCGATTTATCCTTTCCCGAATAACTTGGGAGCAGCGTACTTTACAAACAAGATCTATAATAACGTACGAAAAGAACAGAAAATCGCCACTGAACGTCACTGAAGCGTCGTTTACCGGAATTTCTCTAAGGGAGATAACGATGAGAAGAGAATCGTTCGATATTCGAATAATTAGATGAAAGCTACAGCGATTCTTAGATCGATGGGATTTTCCTAGGACAATGCGAATGCATTCTCGACGTTACCCGCACGAGAAATGGAAAGAAAGCCAAGAAGACTACCGCAATTACCATTAAGTTTCGACTGCTCGCTCCGGTCGACCTGCCAAGGTCGTACAAGCATTTTAATTGCTCCATTCCCGGCGCGGCTATGAAGATCACATACGGCATGAACTCGGTGCTGTTGTGGAGGATTTTCAGCGCGGCCGGGCTGCAGTCCAGCACGCACATTCTCCCGGCTCGGATCAGCTCGCGCACGGAGTCCAGCTTGGTGCCGTACAAATGGCCGCTGTGCTCGCCGTACTCGAGGTACCGGTGCTCCCTGATGTCCATTTCCATTGCCTCGCGGTCCGTGAACCAGTAGCTCTTGCCATCCTCTTCGAGGACTCTTGGTGGTCGCGAGGTATCTACAGAATTCAAGCATTATGTCAAATCAACAGATTTGCAACAATGCAATCAAAAATGTATCTTCTATATGTAATACCATTGCTTGGTTCAGAGATGAAAAGAATTATGCAAGGATCTTCAAGCGTATAGAAGTATATTATTCATCGTCTCGTTACCATCACACAAACCTCAAACTCATTTTCTTCGAAAGAGGATCATTATTAAAGCGAGGGTTTCTCATTTCTAGATATGTACTATAACGTGCATTTTTATTCAAAAACAGATTTCTATGCCTGGTCCTCCTTGTTAGATGAATATCTTCGTGAGAGCTTCAACTTAAAATCAACCATTGCGTAATGCCTTCAACTCGAAATAAACGATTGCCTTATAAGACCCTCGAAGGAAGCCATGCTCTAAAAGGATAAGAAGATTTACATGGGACAATGGTGCCGAACTTCTCCGGGTCGCTGTTTATCAGCCTGTTCTTCAGGGTTCTACGGCCGACGCCTCTAGGGCCGACCAGCGCCAAGGTTTTGCGTCTGAATGGCGGCATCCGCGCGACCTCCTCGTACAGGAGCAACTCCGCGCCGTCGAACTCGCCGTTCGACTTCGACTGGTACATCTTCCGCTTCTTCTTCTTGGAGATCCGGGTGCCGCAGATGCTTATCTTGTGCACGAAGTCCGCTTCCGGCGGAACGAACGCCTTCCGCCGTTCCTCGAGCTCCAGGGACGGGATCAGGCCCGGCGGACCGAGGCCATCCCCTTCTACTCGACGCGCCTGCCACCAGTTCGGATCCGCTTGGTCAACGATCTGCAACACGTCGCCCTTCTGGAAGGGCAAACCGATCTCCCTGCACGGCAGCAGCGTGTCCTCGGACGGGTCGTAGTCGAAGAGGGCCCTCATGTAACACTGAAACAGCGAACACTGCCTGTAATCGACATTTTTTTGGAGCTAACCGAGTTAACAGAAGATTGTTTAAATTTTTTGTGGGAATTATGAGAATGGATTTTTTAAGATTGCAATTGACTTCTACTTTCGCTTGTGTGTTAACCATTTGCAATTGAGAGGCGACTCTTAGCACTCGATTTCATGGAGTAGAACTATAAAATTTGATATTTAATGCTGTTTAATGTTATTGATGATATTTAAGTATGATAGATCAATAGGTGGAATATTGATAAAATAGTTTTGTTACTCAGTGTCATTTCTCTAAGAGTTAGTTTCGGGAAATATCGTCTGTGTCTTATCAAAGAATGTTAAAATATTTCTAGAGAATAACTTGCGAGTGCAAAGGGTTTTAATGATTGACTGAATTTAGGTATTTTCAAGGAATTCCTATTCACATAATTGCACGAATCAAAATTGACTTAAACGGCTAGTAAATGATGTTTAACCCTCAACAGATGAAGCTAAATTATATATCAATTACTTGAGCAATAGAAAAATAGGGGACCTACGTGCTGATCTCTTTCTATTCGAGTAATTAAATCATTTATTAACGACTTAGTCTTCCAAATATGAAAAATTTCGACATTCGTCCGCAAAGGGTTAAAAAATTCAGTATCCGTCAAATTGACGGGTCTCGTGAGTCTAGTGTCAATTAAATTGATACTTCAAGTGTCGTTTAAGATTAACCATCTAAATGTGGTTCCAGTTAATTACAACACAGTCTCTAATTGCGTTCTTCCCTTCCAGTGTCACGGTTATATTTAGAGCATGCTCTAAACGAGGAGTTGGCCAAAATCTGAACAGTTAGATTCCGTAATGGAAGTCTAATCGCGTTAAGAAACGACGTTGACAGATTTCTCTCGGTATTTACGAATCGCCGTCGTTACGTTTGACCGTAGAAACACGGGGAGAAGCGTCGGTTCTATTAATTCGGCACTCGACGAGTAAAACGTAAACCTGTAACACTCTAGAGTTTTTCAAACACAGTTTTACGCCCCTATAAACTTTATACTATCGTCGTTTAGATTAAACTTCTTTCTCCCGGCGGAATATTCATCTCGAGAACTTAATAGATTGGTTCTGTCTAATGAACATCAATTATTCAGTCGTCCAACGTTAAAAACAGACTATTCTGCTATAAAAAGTTGAAGAATCTTCTCTAAACATCTGCTACTAAATCAAAATCCTAATTCCATTGAAAATTCACTGTTCATTTTTACTAAAATTATCAGACCAACTCTTCCTTTTGTAATTACTAACTAGATATGTTTCTCTGAGGGATTATTCAAGAAATTTATTTAGCGATAGGCAAACTGAATTGTAAATCAATTGAAGTCAGATCTTTTCAGAAAATCAATGTAACTGCTCGGTAGTTTTATCGTCAAATAAGATCATCGTGATCCAGGACTCCACGAATCGTATCGTTTCGATTACTCACCGTAGATTTGACAGGTCGATTCCCATCATTCGCGATCCCAGCCGCCAATTTCAAGGTGAGGTTTTCCTTCGCCTCGTGAATGGCTTCCTGAAGCTCCTCGGGGCTGCGGACATCTTTCCCGTTCACCTCGAGGATCACCTCGCCGGTCCTCAGCAGACCTTGCCTAGCGGCTGTGCTGCCGCCCAGGATCCTGGCGATTATCAAGTTGCCAGCTTCGTCGACCTGCACCGTCAGACCCTGTGCAAAAGTAGGCGAGGATGAACAAGCAGGTCTAAACGAAGCGTGTCCCTCAAATGGGAGTCGTTAAGCTTTTAGCTACTGCACGCCACTTTCGTGTGCTGCGAGTGTCGTTCGTTTTAGAAAGAGAAATCATTTGGATAATGTAGATGGTATTCTTTCATTGTTTTCATAGTAATAGGAATAATTGAATTTTAGCTTTTGAGAATTACTGAAGATGTTATGTAGGCGTTATATGGGTTACTAGGTTGTTAGTATGTGAGTGACTAAATTACTAGTTTATAGATTAGTAAATTTATAGATTACTAGATTACTAGTTTATAGAATAGTAAATTTATAGATTACTAAATTACTAGTTTATAGATTACTGAATTACTAATTTATGGATTACTAAATTACTAGTTTATAGATTACTAAATTACTAATTTATAGATTACTAAATTACTAGTTTATAGATTAGTAAATTACTAATTTATAGATTACTAAATTACCAGTTCATAGATTATTGAATTACTAATTTATGGATTACTAAATTACCAGTTCATAGATTACTGAATTACTAATTTACAGATAACTAAACTACTAGTTTATAAATGACTAAATTACAAGTTTACAGATTACCAGATTACTAGTACATAAATTAATAAATTACTATTTTATAGATTACTATATTAATAGTTCATAAATTACGATGCTTGCATCGCCGCAGGTTCCAACGCGTGTGGGAGCCTTCGGATGAATAACGAACGGTACCTACGGCATACGTTCCACATATTCGTTCCACTGTACACAGTGCAATGGTACCTTGTTCAATTTTCCAAATATAACGAAAGGAGACCTCGATAACTTAGAAGGAACGCGAACAAATCGAAATATTTGCCCCTGGAGAAATAATGAATGGCACTTGCAGGAGGATCCGTTCCGTTTCGATTTACAAACGTGTCAAAAAGAATCTCCGAAAGTCTGAGAAACCGAAGGAAAACAAACGGCCGAGTGTTCCTTTAACAAACATCTCGACAAGCGGGAATGGTTAAAATCTAGCTGTCCGTCGGTGGCGTGCCGGTGCCTACTGGAGGAGACACGTAGATCTATCTCGCGGAGCACGTGGCGCCGGATCGCGACGATAATAAACTCTCCGAATTATTTATGTACTGCACGCGGCATTTCCGTCTTTTCTTCGCGCGATCGGCTCCCGATTCTGAATGGGAATTCTCTCACGTGGCGGAATGGTAAACTTCTAAAAGCGGATCCGGCGGCCGCCGAGAAAGTCCGCGCGAACAGCCGCTTCTTTGTTAATTGCTGAACGCGCCTCCACTTTCTTCGCTCGCCACCGGCGATGGAATAAACGATCGCCGGCGGGAGCGTAAACACGTCGCGATACGGCCGAGAGGATGTCGCGGGGAAAATTGCAACGGAACGGAATGCTCGGAGGTAAGCGTCGTTCGGTTCGATAAGGGAAATCATTTGGAAAATGTAGGCGGTATCCTTTCATTCTTTTTATAGTAATAGGAATATATTGAATTTCAGATTTTGCAAAGCACTGAAGATGCTATATGGGTTGTATGAATTACGTTACCAGTATGTAAATTACTAAAGTACTGCGTTACTAGTATGTAAGTTACTAAATTACTAGTTTATACATTATTAAATTACTAATTTATGGATTACTAAATTACTGGTTTATAGATTACTGAATTACTAATTTATAGATAACTAGATTACTAGTTTATAAATGAGTAAATTACTAATTTATAAATTACTGAATTTCCAGTTTATAGATTACTGAATTACTAATTCATGGATTACTAAATTACTAGTTTATAGATTACTGAATTACTAATTTATAGATTGCTAAATCACTTGTTTATAGATTTCTACATTACTAGTACATAAATCACTAAATCACTGTTTCACAGATTACTACATCACCAGTACATAAATCACCATTTCACAGATTACTAAATTACTAGTACATAACTTACTAAATTACCAGTCCGTAAATGACAAAATTCCTAGCGCACGATTACTCAATCAGAAATATTTATAAATTGCTAAAGATAACTTATGATACTAGCCACATAATCAGAGAAACCTTACCAGAGGTTCGTCAGGTTGCCGCCTCAGGCCGACCATCCTCACGGCCTCGGTCCTCTCGTTGGTGGGCATCGTCGGCAACGCCGGTTCCGGCTTCGCAGGTGCCTCTTTCCTCTCGACGACCGCGTCGTGCGTCTCCAGAAGAGCCTTCAGGTGTGAGCTGCGCAGCAGTCTCGTAAGTTCCCGCGCGTTCTCGTCCCTGGAGGCGCGCAACGCGTGGCAGACCTCGTCGACGATGTCACAGACGGACGAGCATACCGGTTCCACGTGGAGAGGAGGATCCTCCAAACGCTCCTGGACCTGAAACAGTCACGGCGCCCTGGTGATCCGAGGATTCTCACGAAAACTGGTTTTCGCTCGGACCACGAGAGTCTCTAGGCTCCCTCGAGACTACCTACGAGTCGAACTAAAAATCTCAGCTACTGTTGCTGCTCTCTACTTCACTTACAATCTCAGCTTAACAATCTAACCCACTTTTCAATTTCTATTTCCTTCATTTCCAGTGAAGATTTTCATTATTACAGTAAAACTAAAAATCTCAGCTACTGTTGCTGCTCTCTACTTCACTTATAATTTCAGCTGAACAATCTTTTCAATTTCTATTTCCTTCATTTCCAGTGAAAATTTTCATTATAACCGTAGAGCTATTTACAGGGATGATTGGGATTCATTTTGTAAATCGATTTTGTTATGAAGTAATTCAGACTAACCATTTATTCTTTGTATTTAGTATTAATCGAAACGTTTGATGAATCTTTTTACTTTTTTGTAGTGTTACTCTACTCTTTCTTTTTAATTGGAACATAGTTACAGTTATCCTGCTGTGATAAAGCGAACAACGTGAACCATTGTTCAGGTCACTGAACGCGTTCTAATAAATAAGAACTCTAGGGGACAGGTATTGATACTGTTATTGCGAAGTGAATATAACGTACGCAACGTATCACCGATATTCAATAATGAAACGAGAGTGACTCGAAACCTCAGTGTCAGTGACCAGTTCAACAGGGAGGGAAATGTATACGTTCGTAACGTAACGCTAGGCATCGAACCGCCGTTCGCTCGTTCGTTCGTTCCTACGGTCTTCGTCGAACCCGCGAACAGTGAGCGGCTTTGAGCTGTTGCCAGTTGTGAAAGTCGAAACGGGTTTCCGCATTAAATTCACCGTACGAGGAGCCATGGTTGCTCTTTGTCCTCCCCGTACAGCACCGGAGAAACTGAGCCTCTTAGGCTCTATAGTCGGATCAACGGTTTCCTCGATCCGACGCCATATTAGTCGACTCGAATTTCAATCGTACCAAATAAGAGGAAATCGCCTAGAGTCACTTCAAATGACGATTCTCATTAATAAATATCTCGTACAGCGATCAAGATGGATTAGAAATGATTTCAAAGAAACGTTTCTTTACGAAATTCCTCTTCAGGTCCTTAAAAATAGTGAAAAATTTGAAAATTCATGAGAAATTTCATTTTCCAATTTTTTGGATCTTCGGTGATGAATACTAGGTAACGACGCGCCGTTCAGCGAATCCGGAACGAGGATTCACCGGTGATTTGTCACCTACCAGTGTCAAATCGTCATTGTGCAACTATGACCCGGCGTCAACGAGGTTTGATTCGATTAGCGTCGGTCACGTAAGGCTGGTGTACTCCACGCTGAACCAGCCAATACATCGTCACAACAATGAGCGAGTAATTACGAAAGTGGGTCGGTTCTCAGCGTTTCAGAGCCACCTTCGAGGATGCTTGATACCTGAGCCCACCGATGGGGAACGCGATGGGAAAACAGTGTCCCAGGCGCTGTGAAAAATTCCATGGTGGGACTGTAGTTATCATAATCAACGTCGTGCACGTGATCATTGTAGAAACAAATCCTGTTTCCTCGATGCAAATTAACAACGTAATTAAACCGCCGCCGCTCTTTAATTCGAACGCGTACCTATGTCGTTGCGTTAGAACCTGAGACATCTCAATTCGATCTGAACACATCTGAACAAAACCAAATCTGTTAGCACATAATTCGAATACAAACGTTGGACGTCGAAGAAAATTAATCCTTTTCACTTGACTTCACAGAGAAAAGTTACAAAGCTTGGTGTCCCTTAATTTCTGTATAACTTCCCGTTAAGTTACTTCCAGAAACCTGCATTTCATCCAAAAATGTGTCGAGTGCTTCAAGCTTCATTGTTAATTTCGTTAACATCACGAAAGTTCGTTTCCTCGAGGATCAAACAAGCAACGAATCATTTATTAATGCGATCGCATGACTAAGTTCGACTTACGCAAGAAAACTGGAGCGACAGATTTCAAGGAATCCGAAAGTATGTGGCAAGCTGCTCGGTGGAGTCTCTCTGAGTCATTTCCATAATTTTGTAACGGGAGAAGCTCGCGAAAGAGCGTCGTATCGATTCTCTGCGTTTCAAGAAAGATCCTGGACGCGGAAATTACTCGTCGAAGTGTTCCTCTCGGCCGCGGTGAATCATCATCGAGTCATTCCGTCCCGATGCATCTGCATCGCAGATGGACGAGCTATTTTCACGAAGCGGAAGGACCTGTCGTCGTGCCATCGATTATGGCTAACGATGACATCGCTTGCCAACTACGCGATGAAATCGCCTGCCACCAAAACAGGGATCAAAGGAGCGCGTCCTACCGATCTGTCGCCGCCCACGCGATTTATCCGCGGACACGCGGCGTAAATCAGCGTCCGACGCGCGCGACACCGGAGAACGCGCTGGAGACGTGTTTTCCTTGGAACTCGGAAAACGAAATCTGATTTATGAGGATTAAGTGTGCGCGTTGGAGCTTGTGCGATCTTTTTTGTCGTTGGCCGTACTTTGAACGTTGTTATTCTCGCACGGTACAAATATGCGAGAAGATATTGCTTTCTGATAACATAGGAACTGTTACGTGGACGAGTTATCCATAAATTCATTAAAATGAAATTCAACGTTTGGTTCGTGAAACAGGAAACTAGTGTCTATAAGAGAGCATCTGTCTCGAAGTCAGTGAAAGGAGTTCAAAATACCAGAGACGAACAAATTACCGTGAAGATTAACGACGGAGTCGCACTCGAGTCGATCAATCAAACGTGACTGGTATTCCCTAACGAAGTCAAACATCGAGCTCCGAAGCCATTAGCTGGACGGAGCATTGCAAACGAGAACGATCGGTTGCCAGCGCGACATTGCTCAATAAAACGTAACTCCCGTCAGTTTTCCGGCATTAGGAATTTATAACGTCGACCATCGACAACTCTCCGGCCCATTAGCGTGACGAGTAAGCGTTACGAACGAAAACGATCGGTTACCAGCGCGATGTTGTCCGATCCGCGGAACGCGAAGCCGCGGCGCAGGTATTTCTCCGTGTGTCGCAAGATGCTTATCATTCCGGCCGTTAATTACAGTACATTTGTCACGGGAACAACGGCGTGCCGGGGGCCGGTGTTCAGCGGACCCGACAGACCCGTAATGAATCCCGCCGGTGTTCTGTGACGTCCATGAAAAGCTCCCACGAAACCGCGCCAAGATTGTTATATTCGAGGAACGAAAATACCGCTCGTTACCTGTGTCAATAACGAGCGGCTGGTTTCGTCATCGCTGTCATTCGGAGACCATACGGTTCCCGCCAATGGTTACCGTGGACGTCGCAACGACGCGAATCAATAAATCCGTGACGCGACGGTCTACGAGAGCCTAGCCTGTCAGCCTCCTGCCTAGCCCCTGGCCATAAACAAAAAGCTAATCAGCGAAGCGTTCGCGTGCCGCTCGTCCGCGGCATTCCTGAACGGTCATCAACGGCGAACGCGGATCGAAATCGGAACGGTATTGGAACGATCGACGCGCGCCGTTCGAGCGCGTCGTTCAACGTGTACCTTTCTCCGGGGACCTCAAGGACAGTTGAACCGACCATCTTGAGCTCTCCCTACCTTTCGGTTACGAAAACCTTTTCACTCGCGGACGCCCGCGTCCCCCTTTCAGCAATGATTCCCGACGTTTCCAGCTTGTACGATGCCCGATAAAATTGCCGCTACCACTGTAGGCCAAGGGACCTAGCCGAGATCCGTGACTCATACGGCTCGTAGGTGTAGATGAAGACGGATAATGCGAACAATACCTCGTAGCCTACGTACACTCCGACTGGCAAGAGCACACGGACACTGGAACCCGATCGGACCAATGGAATCCGCGTGTGTCGATAAGAACGTAAACCCCACTTCACAGTTCACCGGGATCCAGCCGATGATCCGCTTTCTCTCCTTCGAAAGAGCCTAACTGAATTCCGACGGCCATCCTGTTCGAGGCACCAGGTGCCAATCGAGCTGTGGGTCACTTAGAAATCGGGCTTTCCTGCGTCACACGTGCTCCCGAGCCAACAACTGTTGCGAGAGGCGTCGAGAGGATAGCTTCTTAGGGGATGGGTTCTCGGTCCTCGGGGAATCCGCGGTCGCCGATCGAGCGGATCGCGGGTAGGGGATCGGTGGCTGGGTCTGAGGTTCGGGTCCTGACTTACTTCGCGTGGAAACGGTGAACCAGAGGTCGCCCGCCGCTCAGGTAGGACGCTCCTTTTTGGAGAACGCGTCGGCCGTGTCCGGAGCGACTGCGGGTCGAGCGTCCGTCGCAGCCGGGGTTCGTTCGGCGTGTTATCGATCAGGCCAGGGCCGTCGGCGTTCGCACTACGGGAAACACACCGTGTTCCGGGTAAACGGCCACGCAGCGGCTGACGAAGGGCTTTTCCGTGCGCGGACCGCGTCGGCCGTGTTGCTGCTTAGGTAAGCGGCGTCAGAAAACTGCCGCGCCTACTGACGTTTCTTTCACCCCCACCCGGCCGTGCAGCCCGTTCGTTCAGGCTGCCTGAGCGAAACAGGTGGGGGCCCTTCTTCGGACGGTATGCAACACTCCGCTACGTTGCGCGCAGGGCCGTCTACGAGCCGCTTTCAGACCCCAATGCCTCGCGGCTGCGTTTCACGATGCGGTCGAACGCGGCGGTTCAGCAACGACGCGGAGATGGTTTCGTGGCCCCGGGATTCGGATTCGACGTTCACTCCGAGGTTTTGTTCGTCTTGGCACTTGGAGCGAACTGTAGAAGCTTGATTTTCATTTGGATTTTAGGTTGAAGCTGTATGTCTCTTGAGCTGAAAGTGACTACTCTTTGGCAGTTTGGGGATTTGTAGAGGACTAGTAGAGGGTTTTGTCGTTTGGAGCGACCTGTAGAAGCTTGATTTTCATTTGGATTTTAGAAGGTTGGAGCTGTATGTCTCTTGAGCTGAAAGTGACTACACTTTGGCAGTTTAGGGATTT